AGTCACCTCCTCAGGGAAGCCCTCCCTGACTGCCCCGGAAATGACTGCCCCTCCGTCCCCAGAAGTCCGCCGGGCAGGCCTGCAGGCGGGAGGGGACGCCGCCGTCCGGAGGCCCAGTTTCTTCCTGCTCGGAAAAGCCCCGGCTTCTGCTCTGAAGGCCTTTCGGCAAATCGCAGCCCTGCCGCACCCGCGCCGGGGAGGAAAGTCTGGACTCAGAGTCGCCGGGCCGCGGGCGTTGACACCCCTGCAAAAGGCGGCACCACCTGGACAGGTCACTGGGCGCCGGCGCTGAGAGCCACGCAGGGCTCCCTCCAAACGGAAGCCCGGCCCGGCCGGCCCCGGCGCCTGCTTTCCGCGCTCCGAGTCGCAGAGCCCAGGCCCCCGACTCGCACGGCCCCGCCCCACGACACGACACTCGGTCAGTGCCGGGCCACGCCGCACGACGCAGGTCCCGTGAGCTTACAGTGGAGGCGAAGAACTCCCGCCGCTTGCTGCCATTGTCACCAGGGCAACGTTGCAGCACAGCTATTTACAGGCGCACAGTTTTTTATCCTTACCCCGTGTCCTCACTGTGCCTTCTCTCTGTGTAGACACACAAATGGCGTTGTGTCACAAGTGCCCCGGTGTAGGGGCACGCGGCGCGGTTCGTGGCCTCGGGGCAAAAGGCTGCTCTGCGTGCGGCCTGGGTATACAGTAGGCTGTGCGGTCTGGGCGTGCGAGAGTGCACGCCGCCACGCTGGCGCAAGGACCAAGCTGCCTGCCCGCGCCTTTCTCAGAATGCGTGCCGCCGTCAAGCAGCGTGTGGCCGGGTCTGAAGGGAGGGAGAGTAGGTCCCAGAGCTGTTCCCATTTTACTGATGAGGAAAACTGAGGCTCCGAGAGGAGAAGGCGTCGCCCAAGCCGACAGCCAGCCAGCGCGGTGGTGGCAGGGCTGGGGTTGGCCTTCAGACGCTCTGGGTGGCCCCCACCGTCTGTGTACCGCGCTGCTGGGGTTTCAGCCTTCCCTCCGCCACGTTTCAGCCGGAGCCGGGCGAGGCTGCACCGGGTGGGAGGCCAGCACAGGGTCCGCGAGGACCGTCCAGGGTCGGGAGGCCGAGTCACAGCCTGGCGGGAGCCCAACTCAGAGCCGGCCGGAAGGCGCTTTCCTCTGGCAGGAGGAGCTGGTGGCTGGACAGGGCCCCTGGCTGGGCCGGCGGGGGTTTTTTTGTGCCCGCCGGAGTCTGCGCACGCTTGCCAGCCAGGCAGAGGGGGGCAGGCGAGTGTGATGACCGAGCGCCCGGTGCAGGCGTCAGGTGGCCGGGATGCAGTCTCGGCTCTGCCGCCTTGACCGGTTCCACCTGGGCAGGGTCCCCTCACCCAGCCTCAGTCTCCCCCTCTGTGCAATGGGCTTCGTCCTGCCTCCTGGGGTCACTGTATGGAACAGACAAGATCGCGCTGTGAAGATCCAGCGCTGAATGAGGGTACCCGGGTGTGGTACCTTGACGCACCGGTGGAGCGCCGTCCCAGACTACATGCTGTAGTCCAGTCCACTCGGGAGGCTTTGAGGCAGGAGGATCGACTTAGCCCAGGAGTTATGGAGGTTGCTGTGAGCCGGCTGGACGCCACGGGCACTCACACTCAGCCTGGGCAAAAAAGTTGAGACTCTGTCCTCAAAAAAAAAAAAAAAGACAAAAAAAATTAGCCGGGCATGGGTGGCGCAATGCTAGTCCATACCAGCCACAATACGGGGCTGAGGCAGGAGGATCAGCTAGAACCCAGAAGTTGGGAGGCTGCAGTGAGCATAGGAGATGAATGCACCGCAAGCTCCGCTGGGATGAGCAGAGTAAACAGACTGTGTACGTCAAAAAAAAAAAAAGAAAGAAAGAAAAAGAAAAACAAAGCATTGCTAACCTTTAGAGGGAGGTCCTCCTGCATCCCAGAACAAGATGCGAAATAGCAGACTTTTTGGTCCAGCATCTCTGAATTTGGCAAGCAACGTTTTTGACCTTGTCATCCACGGGAGCCGGGAGACACCTGATTCACCCCTTTCCTCCAGGCCCTGAAGGTGCACTGGGAACAGAGCAGTCACTCAAAGGACATTTGATGAATGTGTCACTGGGGACAAGAGGGGGGGAGGGGGACACCCGGTACATAGATACATTCCACCCCGAAAACGCTGCCAGCGCACGCCCTCAAAGCGTAAATAGAGGCCCGCGGCAAATACAATCGCGCTTCTTGAGGACAGGCGAAGCAGTCCACAAGACCAGTGCATATCCGGCCGAGCAGTGGAACCCAGGCAGCCTGGCAGGCGGCTCTGCGACGCGGAGAACAATCCTCCG